GTAACTAAACTATTCATATTCGTGTTCCTCTTATTATGAGCTTTATTTCGACCTACAAACTATTATTATACGATTTACTATTCTTGAATTATGTCCAGTCAATTAATTACAGTCTTCTACATTCACAGTCACTTTGTGTAGATTGTGTACAAATGTTGTTTCCTATTTTATGATACGTTGTCTGTTTAGTTTGTATATAAACCCAGTATGTCTGAAATACATGATTCATATCACAGAGACTGAGATTGGTGTTCTGGACTTAACAGGCATAACTAGGCGGGAAGCAGGATCGCTAAGGACTCTAGACTGCTCGTATAGGTTTTATGCGTCATTGGTTCGGTCGGTGATTCACTGTTCTCTAATTGGCGGTATCATTACGTTATACATTGGTAGGGGCACAAACCTATAAGTTATAACAGCAATAATTTGTTTCTCTCCAGATTTGTGACAAATTTATCTGCAAGAATTGTTCTCAAAAAGGGTTACTCATAATTATACCATCTGTTTTCCAGAAAAGTTTATTGTTGAACGAATGTTCTATTCCATTTGAGTACTCAGCAGTAATGTATAGATACGATAGGATCCATCATGTTGAGGTAGAGAGTGAAGTCAAAATTCAATCTAACCAGTCAAATTTTGATGATTTCAAACAGTTATTATTATCACACAGGTTATTGCTGGAGATAACTCTTATAATTACTGACTCCTTTGTTTGCGTTGTGTAAACGAATAATATCTAAGTCTAAGAGCAATAAAGCAGACAAACGTATTGGGCTATTAAGAAAGACAACAGTGTAAAATATGAAGAACTTTATAGCGATAACATACAACCAGCAAACCGAATTTAAAATCCCCTGGAGAGAGTTAACAACTGAAGAAGAGACATGGAATATTCTAAAAAAATGTTGTTGCACACAAACTGTGTAAGCACAATAATTGAAATTTCAAAGATAATTTCAGTAATGTCCAACTGAGCAACTACACAGTCATCATCGTGTGAACTTGAAGGTTAAAATTATGGTATTTCCAAACTAAATGAATAAACCATTAAGCAGTCGTTTCGAGAAATGATAGCTTTTGATCTCGATCTCATGGATTACTGATGAGCGGTTCTAAATTAGGAAGAAATGGCTATTCTGGAGTTTTATATTGTTAAAACATTTTCTAGATCATATTAGTTCATGATTAATAATATCCTCAGACTAAACTATATTCTATGCAGATAAACCAATTATAGACATGACCGTTGCAGTTACCTTGACACGGAGGTCGGGCTTGCCTATTGCGGTGGTCCAATCGAGCTATACTGGCTGGAACAATGGTTCCGCAAGGTCTTACCATGCCAGACAGGTCGGCTGACGAGCGGCAAGACTAAAAGCAGCAAACTCAAGGTCAGAACACCAAGTCGTACTGCTAACTGTACAGAGGTGTGACGGTAGTAAGGTGTTTCGTTCAGGAAACCAGCATAGCAGCGATGCTGCCTTGCCACAAGGAGTGGTGTTAGAAAAGGTTGACCATTAAAATGCACATCTCGTCTTGTCCCACGGATTTCTGTCTCCAGTGGTAAGGTTCCAGTAAGTACGGAGCTAACACGAAAATTACAAAAAGGTCGTGTGTGACCGACCTCAAGCAGTTGTCCCTTGGGCACTGTGGTCACGCTCTCAGGTCAGTAAGACCATATCTAATCCAATTTCCTTTTCAGGTACCTCTAGAAGGACCCTCCCACGGTGTGGGCAACCGGGAAGTGATAGCTGCCCTCATTTCTCTAACAGCACTCAGGATCAATGTGGACTGAATTAACTTTATATGTCAAAATCCAAATTTAAAATTGTAAGCAAAATAAGTTTAACATTCCCAGATGATGAAATTACTTGTATATACTAATTACTTGAATTAATGTGTAGGTCTAATATAATTGAGTGACTATCAAATGGAGTGAACATCAGGTAATATAAAGTGATAGGCAATTACCATATTAAATACTCAAGGTGAGATTACGTAATGGGCGAAATAATCTATGCAGAAGGTATCGCTTCATTAGGTCTGACTATAAAGTGAAATCACCCAGAGTGCAAAATGAGAAATCCCCTAGTATTTGAATTGATTCGTCTAAGATACAGTGTCATGAAGTCATCCTATGTACATTGGGTGAACCACCTCAAAATCTTAAGTGTAGTAGTTCACTAAACTCTGCAGAAGATCCGAGTTCGTTCACGAATAATGGTTTAAAACTCCCGCATTATTCCAGTGTGGATTTTATTGATAGTGTGGTTAGCGTGTATCTACCATTGTGCATATCCTTCCTAATCGATTGTGTTCTAAGACCCATGGCTGCTTCCGAGTGCCAGTGAACGTGGTCTTAAAATCGTAACTTATTTTGACTTTTGGGATATTGTAAGAGGGAAGTGTTTTGGAACCTCATACTCTTACTTCCGCATTTAGTGTATGCCGAAACATACTTAATTGTAATGATTAAGTCCCAGATCAGTTTAAAGGCTTTATACATCTCGACATAAAATTTGAATGTTAGCAGACCTAGCACAGTAACCTGTAGCCTTCAATTACTCATCGATCTTCAAGACGCTTTGGGATAGGTCCATCACATTGTGCCGACAAGCTTTTTTTCCTCAACCAGATTCAGTGAAAGTACGTTGCGATACTATATCAAAGTAAATAACGCTTTTTCCTGTTTAGTATTCTAATCCATTGTCTGGTATCGTAGAGGAAGCATCATGTTCAGTTGATGGGAAAGATCACCCCAATAACAGAGATTAAACAGATCTTTCTACATGGAGTTTTGGATACATATTCACTTACCAAACTGTGACATCTCATCTGTAACTCGGATGTGCTAATCCCGCTAAGCTATGCATATATGAATATTCTTTAACTAAAGTCCAGACAATGTTACCATCCATACTTCCCAGCCTTTTCGTTCTACGTTATGATTGACATTATCATCCTTCTTATATCATGGAGTTTTGGGAAGATTAACTGACTTCGTTGATAGGAAAGTAATCAGTGAATATTTATGATGCTTATCACACAGGAAGTGGATTTTTGGTGACATGTTAACATGAAATCTAGTGGTTCAGATCTTTAGGAGAAACTTAGTGCTATAACTCGTATGTACTGAAGTGTCCGGCGTCAGGATTATTCACATCACTCCATCGTAGATTATTTAGCGAATTAACCACAGTTCTGGGGCTGATTTAGCCCTCTCTTACAATCATCTAAATAAGAATAACAATAGTAGAGCAGATGAGCTTACAAGTCAAGAATGAGATCCCCTGCTGTATAGGTTTCCCAGTTGATAAGCCAACTTTCGGGATATAATATAGAATTGGTCCGGGTTTCTAACCAACTTATTTAAGACTAGATACTCTAGAAAAGGACCCACACGTACCCGTTAGTCCAGGAAAAAAACACAAGAATATACAACATGCCGTCTCCTTATTTCAAACGTTGAAAAGTCGAGCTCGTGAATATAACTGTACTACTATAAATTACAATACAGTAACACTCAATAATGAACAATAATATATATGTTTATCAGAATCTTACATCACACAATAAACGAAAGTCAAAGTATGAATGATGTACATTCAATTTATGAATGATACAAAAATAACAATAAAACCAATGTATACAAAGTTTAGGTAAGAATTGGAAGGGAATTAGAACATTATAAATGCAATAAACCTGTACAACTGAGTTATCAAAAACCTAATGTTCTGATCTTCACTCTTCCTCACCCTCATCAGGTTCGCCGTCATCTTCATCTTCTAACTCCGCACCGTTTTCATCACCTCCAGCACTGGTCACTGTAGCACAATCTGGATTCTGAGCTTCAGAAGTCCTGATAGATGCAGAGTTTGACACAGCACCTGCAAGTTTCTTCTCTCTAGGAACATAAGTCCCGGCCCGATATTTTATCATGTCCTGAAACGAAAGTAGTTTTTTAGAGATACAATACCGGCTTAAACTCAGAGGAATTAGAAAAAAAACTTATGAACCAAAGTGAATAATTTACCTCTTCATAACGCTGTTTATCTTTTTGAGCTAATAGTTCATACTTTGCTTTATCTTGACAAGTTTCCCATTGACGTCCAAGTTCTTTAGCAATATCTGCAACTTTCCAATCCGGATTGCTTTCTCTGACTTTTGAACGGAATTCATCACAGAAGAAAAAGAAAGCAGACCAGGCTCGTGCAGGTACTGTGGGGTCTTTAGGACCCTTGCGTTTCTTCCCTTTTTTCATGCCATCTGGTGGCACGTAATCACACATTTCACGATTGAATCGTTCTCTATCCAAGACAGCTAGATCTTCAAATCGTTTCTTCTCTTTTGGCGTCATTAACTGTAAGATTAAAGTTGATAATTTAGAAGAAAAAAAAGAGACTACTAACCTTCCATCGTTCTGCGCACTTTTTTGAAAAATCACTGAATACAATTTGTTCACCAGGATGCTTCTTTTTGTGCTCTTCTCGAATAACTTGTACAAAACAGGCATAAGCAGACATAGGACCCTTAGGTTTATTCTTATCTTTAGTCTTATTCATGATTATTTAATAGTCCCAATGTATCTGGAAAAAAATTTCAATCCGAAATCAGATGCTCCATCGCATAAAAGCAAATATAAGCGCATAAGATACCATTGATAGTAAACTACGCTTACCAGTCAAAATAATAACAAAGGGAGCTTAGATTAGCTATGATGGCAATACGAGCCTATATAGACTAGATAGGGAAGGCTTTATGCATACGAATAAGCCTAACTAGTTCATTGCAATCAATCTAACATAGGCAGGTCAAAAAATTTAACTAGCCAATCATCTTCGAGATTTTGAGATGATGAAATTGCGTTACAACTTGAACAAAGTTATCGATTTTGACTGTTAATAAATCAATTTTGGACATCTAGTATATTCAAAAAGGCATATTTATTGTATCAAACAATGAATATTTGTTTGAATTTATTGACAAATTTGCGGAAATTTGTTTTATATTTCGTAGCGCCAAACTGGTTAATGGTGTAGTGCGTTGAACTGAGTTCTGGTTTCGCTTGGTTGCATTTGTTAATAATTGTAAGCGCATGGTGTGCACTTGCTGGGTCGTGCATTCGACTTCCTTCCGACTAGACGCGATCCGCTACATCTGAGATCTTAGTTTGTTCGGCACGAATTTATCGGCTCCAATGTCCGAAAATCACTCTAATCAACTCTCACGATTATTTTACCCTATAAATGAACGTGTCGGTTTGTCGATTGGTGTTATATCTGGACACCAAAGCAAGCACAAACGGAAACATTTAGTTTTTACAAGTAATTAGTGCAGATCATTAACAATATCTTAGTTTCACTAACGAAGCCTACGAGCATTCAGGTCTATCTGGTCAAGATTACGGATAAAAATGAAATTAGGAAAGTGCAAGTATGCAACGCGAAGAATCTGAAAAAAATTGACTGCAGAGATACAAAAACTCAACCTAGCTATGAATTACAAATCATTACAGAAAATAAGGTTAGTCTTCGTAAGGTTACTTTTTCATTCTGGAAATAACCGTGACGTTTCTTTTGACATGGTATTTTATCCTGGTCATCAGTAGAAACTCACTATGTATACAGTGGGCTTGTGCTAGTTTCTTCAGCTTGTTCTCTCGTGAAGATCCAGCTTCTACAGTTTCCAACGCCATCTGCAAACAACAGTGTAGAGTACCTAAACAATCTCGGTAATTCATTGATTTAGAGGTATAAAGAAATAGAAGCCTGAGATGATACCTTAGGATACATCACTCTTGACTAGTTCCCATTGATATAGTGTCCAACATACTCTCAGTTTCAGTTTCAGTTTCAGTTTGGAAAGGACAGGAGGCTCGATGGCCTATGTTAGTCCTGGCGGCGAGACTCTAATTTAGGGACGAGCCAATCGGAAGCGTTTGAGCAATTTCAAGGTCACGGAGCCAAGTTCAACACGCGCTGCTAACATACAATCGGTTCACAGCGGATTTTAGAGAGTAGGTGATTAATGAAAGGTTACAACAGATGGGACGACGAAACTATAATTTAGGGACGAGTCAATGAGAAGCGTTTGGGCAATTTCAATTATTAGCCAATCAGAAGACAGTATAAAGTAAAAATATATTACAAGAAAGTAATGATTTACAGTGGATATTCTTTTACATGATTTAAAAACTTGTTGAGGTTTGATAAAGTTTCAGAAGTTCTAAATTCATAATGCGTATTGTATAGAAACTCGTCCATAGGGTTAGGGTTTGGGGTTAAAATTAGGGTTAACGGTTAGGTTAAGGTTAGGGTTAGATTAGGGTTTAGGGCTAAGGTTAGGGTTTTTGGGTTAGATTAGGGTTTGGGGTTAGGTTTGGTTAGGGTTAGGGTTAGGGGTTAGGTTAGGATTAGGGTGCTAACATGCGATCGGTTTACATCGGATTTTAGAGAAGATGTGTCTACTTACAGGCTACAACCCTAACCACTAACCCTATGGACGAGTTTCTATATAATATGCATTATGAATTCAGAGCCTCTGAACCTTTATCAAACCTTAACAAGTTTTTAAATCATGTAAAAGAAGAATATCCACTGTAATTCATTACTTACAATATATTCTCACTTTATACCAACTGTCTTCTGATTGGCTAATAATTGTCAAGGTCACTTAAGATTCGTTCAAAGGTCGTCCTTAAATTAGAGTCTCGCCGTCCTGGCAATGATGGTCTCTCAGTTGATCCAACTTTCTTTTGAAAGAGTCGACGGATGGAGCCTCAACCACGTGCTGAGGTAGTGAATTCCACTCGTTGATGATTCGATGGGAAAGTCGATAGTCAGCTGACGAGTAATTTGTTCTCGGCTTATGAACTTTTTTGGAGTGTCCTCGTAGATTCTCTGTTTTGGAAGACAAGAAAAATGAGGGCATGTTAGGTGCAAATTTATCACTAAGCAATTTGTAGACTGTAATCAAGTCGCCTCTAGTTCTGCGATATGACAACGGGAAAAGGTTCAGCTTGGCCAGTCGAGATTCATACGGAAGCTTCGCTATTGCGGGAACCAGCTTAGTCGCCGTTCTCTGAAACCTTTTCCAGAAGCTCACTGTCTTTTTTAAAGCAGGGGCTAGCCGCTTGTATGCAGTACTCAAGTTTAGGACGAACGAACACTGTATACAAAGTCAAAAACGTCTTAGTGTCGACATGACTAAAAGCCCTACGTATTGACCATAACGTTCTAAAACTTTTGGCGGCTATTGCACGGCAGTGTGTAGTAGTCTTTAAGTCTTGACTAACGATAACTCCTAAGTCATTATATGTCTGGACGACAGGTGGCTCAGTGTTATTCATCGTGTATGTATCTGTGCCTTGATGACCGATATGCATCACAACACACTTGGAAGTATTTATCGGCAACTGCCATGTTTGAGACCATTCAGATAACTTCTTCAGGTCATTTTGAAGTTGTGCGGAACTTTATCAAAAGCTTTACTGAAATCAATGAAGGCGACGTCTACAGGTAGCTTTTGGTCCTTAAGAGCACACCAGCTTTCACGAGCCACTAATAAGTTAGTGAGACAAGAATAACTTATTCTGAAGCCATGCTGCTTCTCCGAGAGGATCCGGTTTTTATCGAGATACTTAAACAGCTCCTTCCGAATAATCTTTTCTAATATTTTAACAACCACACTAGTTAGGCTAACGGGGCGGTAGTTCTCAGGTTTGTGTTTCGTGCCTGTTTTGAAGACAGGACTTACTATGGCGTTTTTCCAATCTTTCGGTAAGCGACCCTGCGTAACGGATAGGTTAAAGCATGTACTTAAAGGGTTCGCAACGAAGTTAGATAATTCCTTCAGTAGCCTAGGATGTAATTCATCGGGCCCCGTGGATTTACCTATGTCAAGCTTATTTAGCAGACCAAAGGCATCGAGTTCTTTAATGGTCACGCTATCCAGTGTATGTATGGGGGGATCTGTATACGCTGACGAGAAGGGCGCTTCTATGGTATACACGTTGCTAAAGTAGTTCGAGAACGCTTGGGCCTTATCAAAGTCGTCCTCCACTAATGATGAAGCAGTACTGTCTCCCCATAGAGCAGGAATATTTCCTTTTCTCCTTGTCCTTTGGTTTATATAGGAATACAAGCGTTTAGGACATTCTATGGATTCCTTAACAAGTTTTTCTTCGTACAATTTTCTAGACTTACGGAGGGTCGAGGCACAAGTATTCCGAGCCTTTCGATACTGAGATTTTGACTCATCAGTCCCCAGTAACCTAAATCTATCCCACGTTTTCCTTTTCTTACGGAGAAGGATACGGACCTCCCTACTGAACCATGGTGGTGAGTTTTTCGGCCCCTTTGGTATAGTCCAAGGGATGTGAGAAAAAAAAAAAAAAAAAAAAAAAAAAAAAAAAAAAAAAAAAAAAAAAAAAAAAAAAAAAAAAAAAAAAAAAAAAAAAAAAAAAAAAAAAAAAGTGCATGATGTCTGGTATGTTTGCTTTCCAGACGTTGGGTCTGGACTGGACTGACGCGTCCTCATGACTGGCAGTTATATGGAAGTCGAAAGTTAAAACTGCGTGGTCACTTTTACCTAAGGGTGGCATATGGTGGAGATTCGCAACATCATCCTCATAGTGAGTCAGTATAAGATCTAATAAGGATGATTCAGTGTCCGGGTCGTACCTAGTCGCTTCTTTCACATGTTGCACTAGGGCACATGTGATAACCGCATCAACTAGTTCCTGCTCGAAGGAATTTTCTGACGATTCAGTTCGCAGATTTTCCCAGTCTACCATAGGTGCATTAAAGTCCCCTAGGATTAGACATCGACCACTTTGTGACCAAGTATTGAGACTGCTTAACAGGATCTCATTTGCCTCACAGCTTGGACTGCGATAGACCAAACCAATCAGCAGCTCTTGTCCCTTGCATTTTAAGCGAAGACTAACTAATTCACACGTCCCACTCTCATGGGATACACTATCGATAATGGTAAATGGGATAGCATTCCTAATGAATAGAGCTACTCCCCCTCCTTTGCGCTTTTGTGTTCTGTCGGCCCTTACTAACGTAAAGCCCTCGAAATCAAGTTCTATACTATCTATAGCCTGTGTCAGCCAGGTTTCTGTTACTGCGATTATATCTGGCTTTATAGAGTCAATCTGTACACCTAGTTCCGATCGCTTATTAAGTAAGCTTCGTGCATTGGTGTAACAGATCCGAAGCCTGTTTAAGTGCCTTCGTGCTTCACCCAGAGTGGCTTCGGCATCATTCTCTGTCGAAGTCTTACAACCCGAAAATTTACAATTTTCAGGTCCTTTTCGCCAGCGTCTAACCTATGTTGTAGTTCTTTCTCGGCTTCCCGTCTTTTAACACGGTCTGCCAACGGTAGGTCCTTTCGGATAAAGACTCCTGAACCCTTTAATTTGTGTCCATTTTGTAAAATTAGGTCACGTTCGTTTGAAGAGCCGAATACTACTTTAAGCAGTCTGGAATAATTTGATTTCGAGTCCGTTAGACTCCCTAGTCTATACACCTTTAGCAAGGTGACCCCAGTCATATTTTGAGGCATGAGTTGATTAAGCAGCTGCCTAATCAGTACAATGTCATACTCAAAACGAGCTTTAGGTTCAGAGCTATCGCTCTCCTTAATTCTATGAAAAATAGCTGATCTGTCGCTATGATCAGCTTTCGATTTTTCAACCACTTTTACGGGGGCAGGTTTCCCTTTTATATCAATACTTTTCTTCCTTACAACCTTTACCCATTCGTCAACGCTGCTGGTAGAAGCAATAGCAGTTGCGTCAGACCTAGTGTTGAGTTTTGGGGGGTTGTCGACGACCTGAGGGGTCGTGTTATGTTTACCATTTGAAACCGATCGAGCCTTGCGATTGCGGCTCCTAGGTGTTTCCTGTTGGATCCCATCTGGGAGACGGGGAACAGAAGACCCTACTTTTCTTGAGCTTTTTTTTAAGGTAGGCCCCTTTGGAGACTGCTTTTCCTTCTTTGACCGGCGTGAGTCATCAATCACCGGACTCACTTTAGTTTCCTTCACATTGATTTGCGTGTCAACAGATCGAGTGCTGTTTGACGCGTTCCGACTATGCTTGTTGAAACACTTCTTTGCAGCATCAGCCAGTGAGATGGCCTCGGTTAACAAGCTGTTTGCATCCGAGCAGCACTGTTGACAAAGCCACACACAACCCTTCTTACTGAACCGTTTGAAAGCAGCAGGCGTTAAATTCGTGCAAACTTCGTGGTACCAGCCTTTGCACTCGTCGCACTGCATGCCGCTTTCAACAGGATAACGACAACCCGGACGTTGGCAACTGCTTTTTTTACACTGTCCGGTCATTTAGGAGGGTTTTTTTCAATATGCGATGATACCCAGAAACAAAAAAATTATCAATGGCCAAAAAAAGTGAAGAGCTGTAGATTGCTAGGACCAAAAGTACTAACAGATACAGTTGAAAAAGAGGTACTAAAGAGTACCAACGACAAAACAGTAAAAACGATACTTTAGTCGAATACTTTAACTGAAATAAATTCAATTAAAGTGAAAAACAGTAGTCTTGATACGTAATAAACGATCAAAACAATGAAATTTACTCAGCGAGGAAAAATACCACTGTCTTCGGTCACAGAAGGAGTTTCTTAAGCACACTTTTGTGGCACCTGTAATCCCAGAGCTAAAGAGTTTCTATTTAAGCCTTAATAACGTTAGATGCCTTACTAAAATCGATGAGTATCACGCCGACGGAGAAACCCTTGTCTTGGGCTGCTGTCCGATCCTCTCTCGCAATAATTAAGCTAGGTAAGCATGACTGCTTAATTCAAAACCCGTGTCCCCCGGGAGTTAACAGATTATATGTTTCTACGTGACTTAGTAAGCAACAGCACAAATCATTTTTCAAGTGACTTAACTACTATCGTAGTTAGACTCAAATTTTGGTAGGCACGATTTGTTTCTATACCTAAATATAGTTATAACTGAAGTTCTTTCAATCCCTGTTGAGTTGAGTTTGGGAAATGGACATGTTGAACAACATCGTGGGTTGTGTTGAAATAGCGTATCCGAGGGATGATAGCAACCGTGGATGTAACCTATCAGAAATCAGTGACCAGATCTGAGATTTTTGAGCGATTAGGATAGCTTCTTCAGTAACATATACTGGTCTTATGGTTGATATCCGTGGTGCGGTTGAGATACTAATGGAGTTGAACTCGGATGAACATCTCTACTTTAACCAGATCTCTTTCCGTATTTTTCGCATGACATTGGTCAAGTTCGGCTGTCGCATGCTAACTATCTTTCTAAGGTGGTGCAGCATCCAGCTATGATGTTTTTACACATATTCCGGTATTCACACCTGTGGAAACAACAGTGACATCTATTAGTGATTTAAACCAAAGGGTCACCAAAAGCCGATAGATTTCTACTTAGTCCATTGCACTGATGGATTCTCGTAAACTTTTCCCATGATACTCTGAATACGATGAAGAGCGAAAGCAAATCAGATCTAGGTTAACCAAAAGTCTAAGAAACGACCGTGAGCAGTGGTGGGCGACAAAAGAAGAGGAGATGGAAAAGACAGCGGCTGTAGGTAACACCAAGCAGCTCCTGGGACTAATAAAAGAAACTGGAATTAAGAAGTGTAAGTGAGGCGATCTCGGAATAGGACGACACTTATCTGCTCAGCGCATATATATCTGGTGCCCCCCTTGTACCAATATATGTATTCAGATGAATAAACATCAGCCCAGACGTTTAGAACAATGGGCGAAACTTTAAGTAGCAGTCCAGCTGGCCCTCAGCTACCTTACAACTACCCATCATTCCCAGACAGTGTGAATGGAACATTGAAGTAGGTCCCCCGACTCTATCTGAAGTTCAAAAAGTTATAGCTAATCTGAAACGATGAAGGGAAGATGGATTGGCTTCAGAGGCCTTAAAGTGTGGTGATCTAGTTTTGGCAATTAGGCTGATTAAAATCTGGGAGTTGGACGTAATCCCATCTGACTGGTCACAATCACTTATTGTCCCAATATATAAGAAGGGGTCAAAATCATCCTGTGGAAACCATAGAGGGATTAGTTTGACTTATATAGCATCTAAAATACTGGCCTCAATAATTATCGGACTCCTAACCAAGACTCTTGAACTGCAAACACGAGAAAATCACGCTGGCTTTAGACCTGGTCGTGCCTGCATCGACCACATTCACCATTCGTCAGGTTTTCGAACACAGGCCTGCTTATCGGCATCCGACAATGATAGTTTTTCTTGACCTACAAACAGCATTTGACTCGACCGAGAGGTTCTGTGGTAGTGTCTGTCATTGGGATATGTACCTCAGAAGTACATAAACCTTATGAGGGCTCTCTCCTTGAACACTATCAGTCGAGTTAGAGCCTATGGCGAGCTGTCATCTGATTTTTTAACCTCAAGTGTTGTCCGACAAGGCTGTCCACTATCTCTATTTTTGTTCAACCTCATCACAAACTCACTACTGGTAATAACGTCCTCATCGACTGAATTTTCAGCCATTTATCTCCTCCCAGGAGTTCCACTTATCGACTCAGAGTACCCAGATGACATAGTCTTGTTTGGTGAAGGCTCTGGTAAAATGCCGAGTCTTTTGGCAGCACTGAGCAACAATGCCAGGATGTTTGGGATGCGTCTCTCCCCATTCATATTTGCAACCAACCCGGGTTTTATGCGTAATTTTAGCAATGAAATGGTACTCCTTGTTAGATTACACTATTAGTAAGACCCTTATACATGTTCAAGTTTCATTTACGTATGATTTTTTCTTTCATCAGTACACGGAATTATTCAAGCACTATTGAATGCCATATTGTGTAATGGTTTTTGTACGTTTGACCATATCAGTAATTTTATATTGGTATCAGTAACATTTTTTTAAATTTTACATACTGCAAATTATGCACTGGATTTTGTCATACAATTAGAATAATCTATTCAGTCTAGTTGAAATACCTGCTATCTAGAAGCTGAGTCATGTCTGGGTTATTAATACGTTTGTGCATTAAGTTATATTTTCAAGTAACAATTTTTACCTTCGTATTATTTTGTGGACATAAATTATCATGTTCATTTGTTCTAGACTCCATTCATTTTCCCTTATTTTCCCTATATTTCCATTGATTTAGATATGGGTATTTAATGCTTTGAAATTAGAAGAAAAAAGACATTTTGTCAGTTCATTTTGTCGTACGCTTGCAACACTTCTACCACATGTGATCAAAGATATAGAATTAGTCAATTTCCCACAAGATATAAATATTTCTCCACTTAGCCAACATGAAACATTGGATGCTTTGCTTAGTAAGCAGAATGAGTTAACGTTTATGATTTCTTTTCGTTAATTTGTCTCATAATTTTAGAATGGGTTGTATATTTTATTATGCACTTGAATTATATCAATGTTTGGGGTACAAGTTCTGCAATCGTTTTTTTATACCTTGGTTAGGGGAGGACTGTAATATCACACTAGCCGCCACATACAAAAATGTCTGAAGGCTGAGTACGTGAGTCTGTAGTTGTTAATGTGTTACACTAAAAAAACGCATATGTATTGTCTAAAAGTGGATGAAATATTAGGTTAATGATATCACTGACTTCTCTGGTCCAGTAGTTTTTCGGTTGTTATATGGTATTCTATTAAAGTCGTATTTTTTGTCACCGGACTTAAGAATTCAATTAATGTTATAATTCACTTTTTATCTATCTATCTATCTATTGATATTATCACTTTTAACACCTTATGAACTGATTGAAATAACTAAGTTTTACCGTTGTGAATAAGAGAACAACTGTTTGATAAGATTATCAAAGTTTATTGCCTGATTTGGGTTGAGGATTTTGTATGGAATGCTCAGTCTATCGATTTGTTACTTCGACATTCTAAAATTGTCATGTCAGGTTAGACAAAGTGAGTGCAACTGTGTTATTAAAACAGATATGAAAGTGTAACATTTCACTTTCATAAATTAAGGTTACCTTAAATATATCAATTAGGATTGAACCTTATAGGTTATCAAAGTTCTCTTAAACGTTCCACTCGATGAATCTTTGTATTATAGTAAACCAATTTGTTACCTATACCGGCCGTTCTACTCAACGTCAACGTCGTGCACCCTTCGACTTCACAATTTGTTGACAAACCACCTGTCAGAACACTAGAAAATCTACCAGGTTTTTGGTCTGGTTTGTTTTATTGAGACTCAGATTGACAATTCTAGAGGTAAAATTCAAGACCACAAAATACCATTGATAATAATTCTCATTATGTACACCACCAAGGGATAGGTTTTCAATTAATCGATTGTAATTTAGGACAGCAAAAGATATCACAGCAGTTAATAGTTCAAATGAAAGCTTACGACTTAGCTAATATCAAAATATTATGAATCGTATTTTTGATAGTTACACATAGAAAGTGTTTTAATAGATTTTCCGGAAAACGGCTCTCCTTAGTGTTTCGTTTTCGGTCCTTTCCTCATTTCTAACAACCGCCTATCTGTGTTTGTTAGAAATACATGTATTATAATGAGGTGCAGTCTACAAAACTTTGTCAAGACTAATTCAGCTCGTAGTTAGATGGAATTATTTTGATGAGAAGGATGTGTATTTCCGTTGTTTTCTGATGTATTAGAGCTAGGCTTTAGAATGATGCGTGAGATTTACAGAATTTTATAGTTTAATCTCGGCAATTGATAAGATCCTAAGTTACTGGAGTAACATACTACCGATGCTGGGTTCGAGTCCTGAAGTGAACATCAAATCTAAGATGCTGTCGATCCCTGTTGATGAGTCTCAAACGTGCGTCCTTGATTCTACTGCTAACCACCATCCATTTTTGCTTAAGACATACCATCTTGCTTACAAATTATCTACTATCTTATAAAAAAGAAATTTTAGATTTAGATACTTATCATTAGTGTCGGAGATTGTTGAATTTGTATCACGCGTTAACACCTAATTATATAACCAAGAAGGATTGGGTAACTGTTTCGTCCCGTTATGGTACATTTCAGCAGTGCTCATCTCTGTTATGGTCGTGGACGACTCATACTAAAATAAAATGGCTGCCCAATATTTCCTAATTTTCAATGCTTACCCATAACGTAAACTAAGAAATTGTTTTAGAATTAACTCTTTAACGAATTATTCTTGTCCTTTCTCTCTGACTAAAATATTTTGGTTAGATCCTGAATATATGTCAACGGTTGGTACCGGTGGCGATGAGGATAATGTTGGCGGTGATGAAAAATCAGTTGATAAAGATAAGTCGGATGTCAATGCACCGGTCACTGATTCATACCGTTCATTGACAAAACGTGAAGAAGATGATATACGACAATTTCTAGATGAACTTGATGAGGAATCAACACTATTAAATGCTGCTCAACTAACAGAACGTTTACAAGAACAGTTGGCTCACATTGAAGGTGTAAGATTATTTATGTTTGGTCTTTGGATTTTCCCTTTTTATTTGTAAGAATAATTTATTTGGTAGTAAATTGTTATGAAGTTAATCAAGTTCGCGATACAATCTAACATCAATTGACGATTGTATTTTAGCTATCTCAGTAGTGTGTATTTATAGTGCTTTTCACAAAATTTATATAGATGGTATTTGATCTGGTTTTATGTAAAGTCGTTAGTTTTTAAATTGATAGACGAGATCAATTTACGCATAGTAGAAGTCAGATAGGCTCATTTCTGATTTTTACCAATAATAAATAATAATAATAGCTCATTGGTATTGATTGTTTTAATCTTCCCACTTGTATTTAGGACTGTAACGATTCAGTCTCTTTTAGCTTATGTGCATCCTATGCAAATTGCTTCGATATTGCGATCAAATAGCAAGTGTTTTTGGGCAGAGTTGGATGGTGGTTCATAATGGAATCGAGAACATGCCTTCCGTTTCATTTAGGACTCATCATCTGGATGTATCTACATCCCATAAGAATTCACCCTATTAGACAAGGTCGTGTATATGTGGACTTGGTAGATAAGTGGATATCGCGATGGTGTTGGGTGCAGATGTTACTGGGTTCGAGCTGTTGAGTAGACATCAACTCTTGGATGTAAGTACATCGAACTGACAAGTTCCAAATAGGATAAAACGAGTGTCTTTGTTTCCACTGCTAGCCATCATCTACCTCTGCTGGTATTATTATTGTTATTATTGGTAATAATAAGGATTTAATTGTCTAGTTGTTACTATTTATGACTGAACTGTTCATTTGTTTATACACTATGTATGTTGTTCATATGTTTTCTTTTCTAATAGACAAATGTTCATTCAATTATGTCTTCTGAATCTCAAGTATTAAGTCTTATGACAACATTGGACAGTGCTATTGAACGAGCTGAATTATTAGAGAAACAATTAAATATTTATTATAGTTTTTTAGAGGTTTGTTATTAATATTTCTAAATGATAAATTGAAATTGTTTTCTTTTCTCTGTATATTTTTAAGTGTTTTTTTATGTATTGATATGATCAATTTTATCCTGTAAGAACTTTTAATGTTATCAATCATTCATAATCAATATAGCAAGCCTATTACTAATGTACATTGTCTTAAGCCGTTACAGCACATTAGTATATCGACTTAGTCTGGTAGGTGTAGACTACCTGGTTGGAATCGTGAAACAATAGCAACCTATGGTTAGAGACCTTGAATGGCATGACCCTAAATCGTTTGTAATGACACAGGTGTATCCACTCTTTGTGTTCACCCTAATTCTAATCTCCTGATTCCTCCTTGTCTCTTTCTTTTCTCTTTCCAAATTTATTTCACTGTATTATACTCCTTGAATAACATCTTCAAACCTTAATCTTTCCGACTACTGCTTATACTCTTGCCGCCTCTATCATTATGGGATTTGAATTGACAATTGTATCTTTGTGCTAATGTGGTGTGACAACTCAGACTGATGTATGTACGTACGAAGTTCTACGTTGTTGTTGAATGACTGCTAGCGACATAATTAAATAGGTGTGTTTTACGCTTGTGTTAAATCAGTCATGTGCGTAACCTGAAAATGGGATAATTTGTAAGTGGTACTCATCACAATTTAACATCCGTTGAGGTTACTACTGAGAACTAGGGAGCTCTAAACATCTGTTTCGTCCGAATTTGAGATTTTTTATTAGGTCAATACATGACCAATACTACTTACAAACTGAACTAATTTCAACAAAAAATTCTGCAGTAAAAAGTATAATGATTTTTTTTGAATAATTAAGGTAGATTCATTTATCCATCTATAAAATCATTAGTCCATTGTGAAAGTCTACTTGAACAACTTTTTCACTATATTTGTGCAAAGTAGTTGAAGTCAAGTGGATTGGAGTACCAGACCAACAGTTTTCTTAAAAAAAATGTTTATGTAACGAAAATATAATTTTATCTCTTGCCTCTCACTTCCGATTAATATACATATTCGGTAATAATATCACTCTGTATTGTTTCCCCATATCTTTCTATATACACTTTTCAAATTAATTATACGTAATTCTATTCATAAAAGCAGGTTACTATTGTTACTATACGTACAAAAGTTACATTTTGTAGCTGTTTCATAGCGATTTTGTATATTTTTCGAGTCTTAGAATAGGGTCTAGTAACTTGAACATTCCTTACGCCACATAATATCTCAGCGCCTATCATGTCGACCACTGTTAACTATAATTTACACCGATTGGTTCCTAAAGTATTTCAGCGCTGTAAATTTTAGTTAATTTTAGAGTGTCGCAACAGTCTGACTTCCATAATAGGCTCTTTATGATCATGCAACTCACTCATATGTAACTTTGTTGTTTAGTATATGTGGTCACTATACTTCAGTAGACGGTCAGTTGGTCATAAGTGATCCAGAGTACTACATAAGCACAATGGGATGAAATTAATAAAAGGAGTTCCAAGATAATTGAAACCATTTTACTCTAGATATATTCACTTTTTCTGTAGTGTTGTTAAGCTTGTGTTTCATCAAATTTCCGTTTCAACAAATAAACAGCGAATCTGATTCCAGTCTAATATATGTGATAGAAAAAGCATATTGACTGCTAAACCCTGTAAAAAAGCTTATGTTTAACAATATTCTACGTATATTTCACTTTTTCGAGTCAAAGTTAATGTTGGGTGATTGATAGCAATCAACAGATTGGCTTGAAGTTTTACCTTTTGTTCCAGTCAACATTTGTGTGTCTTTCTAATCTCAAGATAACTGGTACTTTGTATTTTGTGCTAAGAACCACCTTACCCTCCAAAGTGACTTCCATAGTTGTTACCAATACAATATTCGGGTCGCGACTGGGAGGTTTACAGATTTACTCTTTGTTTATTTAGTAGTAACCAGTTTTGTCGATCGAATTCTAATGTGGTCACTTATTTAAATGACATGAACTCATAATACTTTTTGTTGTTCATCTACCTGGGGATGTTCGTCAGAAAACCTAGTGTAACCATTTTACAAAATTTGGATGGTGTCTAGTAGAATCCAAGATATGTCCATTTGGGGCATATCAACTGGATACACGTACACCCCAGTGTACGATAGAGAAGCTCTGGAAGAGATGGATGGTTTTTGACCGGACATCAGTAAAAACTTACTGCGTGAGAGAACAAAGCAGCTTCCAGTTGTTGAGGAAACTAAGAAAGGACACTGGAGGTAAATAGGACATCCTTCGGCAATCATCAAACTGCATCGAGTCAATCCTCAACCTAAAATTGTGAATGGAGAAGAAAGAGAGACCGACCAAAAAACACATTGCACTGGGTGCAGACATCAAAAGAATAAACAGCACTCGTAAAAAACTGGAAAGGAAAGCTGAGTTTATTGTAGGTTGAATATTGCTGTTCGGCGACCTATGCTCCACAAATGATGACGGGAGTAAGTAAGTATTTATGTACTGTTATGACGATATTAACAATGGTGATAATTATGATAGTTATCATTATTATCATACCCATTTTGATGAATAATATTTTTCTTCAATCAATGATATTCCATTCACATATAGGAAGTTGAAGATGCAATGTCTACCCTACGTGATCATGATCAATTAATCCAAACTACAGTAGATAATCGCGCAAATTTATTAAATGTACTTGAACAACTAGTCGATCGGTTAGATGTTGATCCAAAATACTTCCATGTATTAATGAAAGGTGATTTAAGTACATCTGATGGTATTGCACGTTGTATCGAAGCTGCTGGATATTTGGATCGTTTGCTGAATTCAGAATTTAAAGAAGGTTTGTGTAATAACGTTCCTATCGATTGTTTTGTCATTTTGTCTGTATGACCAAACGGAATTTTATTTTTTTATTTCAACACAAAATATTGGTATAAGAGGGCACCAAATATATATGCGCCACACCATATTTGTGTGTGTGCGGTCTGTAATACTGCCTGGGTGCCCAGACCGAAACAGGTGGTTTTCTTGGGAACCACACCCCGAGCCTTTGACCTAAAGGTCTAACCCACAAGGCAGTGGAGCATCGTGAGGAGATGCATTCCCATGGTAGCCGGTGACCAATGATTGGTTCATACGCCATTTGTTCCCGCAGGATACTGGAGCCCATGTGCACCATTGGTTTGGGATCCGGTTAAAGCGCCGGACATTCGCTTTTCGTACTCTCATTTTCGTAAACAACAGTAATGCCACGAGAAGGCAGTGAGTAGGACTTCCCTGGCAGAGGCTGTATATGCATGGCCATGTGAAAACATTTCGAGAGGGAGGGAGGGCCCACCCCACTCTCGGCCGTACCAGGGCATTTGGGGGCACCAAACGGAATAGTAACTACGCGTAGTAATTAGGTCAGAAACTTCGAAATGCTTCACAAACTAATCTCATAATTGAAGAATTTATTAATCGACTTATTGTCTGCAAATATTATTATCCAGTTTCAATAAAGAGAAAATCCAGAGTCTGTTAAACACTGAGTGGGAACGGAAGAGTCTTTTTTGAATTGCATTTCTCTCTGTCTGAATGCAATATATTGAGTTGATCACTTCATTCGTTTTGTGAAGGTTAAGTATGTGATCCACTTGATTTTTTCATGGATCCACCTAGTCTGCTTCTGTAAGCTTGCTCTATTTGTACTTGCATTAAAGCTTCATCAAGCAATAACCGATTAGAAATTGTATAATTTAAGTGTAATAGTTACCAACTTAAAAATTCACACCATCGGTTACTCAAGTCTAGAATCAATCCACTTCTAGAATTTCAGTCATCCAGTTAATGATATCACTAGCTCTTACATACTTGAATCATTTGGTATAAAATTACGTAAATAAATGTAAGTTGTATAAAATATCTATTAGTTTTGCATAATAAATCTATATGACCTCAGCACTCAGAAAGTACTCACATTATCGATTACCAATACAATTTATATCTCTTTTTCCGTGTGCACAACTTTCATCATTGAGATGATCCATTTTATGATACAGAGAAATAAACATTAGATTATTGATCATGTGATAATGTAAAAAAATAAACAGAATTTGTATTATGTTAATGAGTGTCATATATCTTCTTTATTAGTGTAACTTATCAACAACTTACTTATATGGTACATGGTAATGGTTATCTCACCACAAACTTATTTTATCTCTAGAATAGTTAAATCAATCAACTGATGAAAACACTTGACAGTTGTTTCGTATTAGCTTGGAAAATTACTCATAAGTGTATACATCCAATTGTATTATTCTATAGGATTAGCTTCATAGAGTTCCGATTCCCATTAATAAGCCGTTTAAATTTCCAAATTTATCAGAAGGGGTTTGTGGAGATTTTAGAAATTTCACAGATTGAAATCATGAGTTAATTGAAGCTAGACCACCATGGAAAACCTGGAAGCACTGGACGGCCATTTCGTCCTCAGTAGTGCGCATCCACGATCACCGTACCCCACGAGATTCGGACCCAGGACCTATCGGTCTCGCACCAAGCGCTTAACCAAGTACACCACTGAGCCGGCATCCAATGGTGTGAATGTCTAGCTTCAACCAATCCACGAAGTTGCGCTACCGTATACCATTGTCTTCAGTGAGCTGATATTTCACAACAGACCTGGTTGAACTCCACTGGTCTAGCTTCAATTGACTCATAATTTCAATCTGTGGAATTTCCTAATTTAATCAGTTTTTAATATGAGTAAATTTTCATCCGATATAACAGAATGCTAGAACCAGCTAAATCAAGACATGGTATATCGTGAACTCATTTACTTGTTGTCAACTACTTTTATTAAAATCTCCATGATTGTCGTAATCAGTGTTTGAACAACGCATTTAAGCGAACAATATTGTTTTTAATTAGATCATCATCAGGCTTTACCCGAATATTATAAATGAATATTTACATGAAAATATTAAACTAATCAAGGGAATTCGTGAGACCATAGTCACAATTGCATAACTACACATAATACGTGAAAAGTAAAAAAAAGTATAGGAAAAAGGCAATGGTATCTATGGTAGTGATAATAATAATAAAAGTTCTATTCATTAGTTCAACATCGGAAGTAGGTCAAACATAGATAAATAGACTTTAAAATAATAATTCCACAACATTTGAATTATGTAACATTCAGCGCGTGGACAGCTAGGATGCAGCTGGACGATTTATACTTCGCAGATGATCTGGCTCTTCTATCGCACACGCAACAACAAATGCAGGAGAAGACGACCAGTGTAGCAGCCGCCTCAGCAGCAGTAGGTCTCAACATGCACAAAGGTAAAAACAAGATTCTTCGATACAACACAGCATGCACCAGTCGAATCACACTTGACGGAGAAGCTTCAGATGTGGAAAGTAAGGCCTAAGACAGAGTGGGTTAGAGAATGCTGGTTTGCGGCCTGTGCTCTATTTGGAGTGACAGGCGTAAGTAAGTGACATCCAACGTGTGATTCATTAGATGTGTGAGTATATAGACAAGTAAAGATAAAAAAATGACAAACAAATACATGGTATGGAAAAAATTAAAATCTTTTATTAAGTCATATGCAACCAAGGAAGGGATAAGGTTGTCATGAAGTTCAAAACACTGTCTTCTGGTGTGTACAAAAGACAGAGTCGAAATCAATTGGGTAATGACAGAAGTATGTGATAAATCAATCGTATGACTTCTGTTAACCAAATGTGCCAAAACAGAGCTGTATATCTTCTTTATCTAGCCCATTTCAGATTACATGCATATCTTCTAGGTGTTGTTGCGTAATCTATTTCACTGTGATTATTGACTCATAAATTCCCTTGATTTATTTGATATTTTCATATAAATATTTATTTATATTCGGGTTAAGCCTAATGACAATATTGTTCGCTTATATGTTTTGTTCTATTTTCACAATGGGAATCTTCAACATTATTTATAACCGTTGATTGTTACGTAGAATAAGTTTTAAACTTTTTTTGTGCCGTTACATTAGTTAGGTATCGAAATCAAGAGTTTTCGATCATAGTTACTTAGTTTATATTCACTCATTGCATTCACTATTATGGTTTATGTATCTAGAGTCATGTAACATTTCCATTTTTATTATTAACGTTCAGGTGAAGAACATCTTCAAGCTGTAGATGAACGTATGCAAGAATTGAGAAATTTACGTGATTCATTTGCCACAAAATTATCAGGTTTTGTAAATGATGCAATGTTACGTTACGCCAGTCAATTAGGATTTGTTGTTAACACAGGGATTAGTATGCCTTCATCAGATACAATGTCAACAATATCAAATAATCAGTCTGGTATTGGCGGTGGTGGCGGAGGAAATAGGAAAACATCAATGATGATTACAAGTTCTTTTCGTGTTGCATCTGATTTATATGCTGTTCAAAGAACTGACTTACTTCAACTAACTCCACTAGTTGGTAACTGGTTACAAGCTAATAGAAAAGACTTATATATTGGAATTAAAAGGGTAATAATGTGTTTGTTTTCTTTTACAAGAAGGATTTGTAATTTGCACTAATTTCATTATTGCTAAAACATCCTTTTTGGTTGCCTGATTGTCTATTGCTCAGCTATGCAGGTGATTACACATGATGTTCTAATATTTTATGTCAATTGTATTATAAGATACCGATACATCTTTACAGCTACACTGCAACGTATCATGTTATTTACTGTGGTTTACTCAAGAAGAGTAATCTTTTCTTCTAGTTGACGTAATCCATAGCTTGCTATCTTGATGTGATAATCGAGTTTACATATTGTAATGATCTATGGGGAGCGTTAAGATTTGAAACAGTAGGCTTAGTGTTCGAGAGAGATGTGATATTACTAACTGCACAGAAGTGATGTCAGCAAACTGTGTATTGTTTGCAAGTAATTGAAAAATCTACAATCCTATAATATTTGTAGACTGAAACATACTACTTTTTATAAATGAGTAGTAATTATAGTAGTTGTGACATTGACCCATATTTTTTTACTACAGTCCATATAAAATCATACAATTTATTTCTATAATTGTTTCTAGATGTATATTGAAAAATCACAAAATTTTTTTAAACGACAAATCCAAGAAGTATTGAAGTGTACACAAGACTCCGTTGCTAATCTTGTCCGACCTGGGAAATGTAAGTTAAAATTGCTTTTTTATTTTCTTAACCAAAACGAATTTGTAAATGCAATATTTTCGTTAACTTTTTGGTCATGTATTATATATTCATATATGCTTAGTATCATTAAGTCATTGACAAATTAATGGCTATTTTTTTGGCGAGGTGGCCAGTAAGGCTAAAATTCCTTTGGGTAAGTGACAGAAGATGCTTCGTTTAAACGATAAAGATTTGTTAGAAGCCCATTTGGACATGAAATTATCTAATCTCGTCATTCACTCAATTCCTTAAACGTTTGTTAATTCGTCAAATCTTGTATAATTTTCACGTAACCCTTCAGTCACGTCATTGTTCTAAATCTTCCATATCTATTTTCAAGTGATCTGAGACTGATGTAAACTCTTCACAACTTTACCACAATATTCATTTTATTATGTTTCCGGACATCATTCTTTTTTTAAAATCTCACCTTTAAGTGATCTCACACTTGTTTATTTGCAAGTATATGTCTAATTATTGTTGCAAATCTTTGTTATTCTGAAATTCTCCATCATCAATGTCTATTACTCCATATTATGGGATATTTGAGTGTTCCATTCTTATACGATTACGGCTTCAGTCAGCTGAGGAGAAACTATGGAATATAGTGAATTCATATTATTCTGATTGAATTATTATTATTTTTTGGTCGTATCTAACTTCTTATAAGGGCACCAACTATATAGTTAGGGGTGGCCAAACCAAAACGTGGCATCGGTGCTTGAAGTCACTACCTTCTAGTCTGAGCCATGTTGCTAGATGTAGACTACTTGGTTGGGGTCCACGTGACTATCGTAACCAAGGCTTGGAGACTCTAGGTGACATGGCTCAGAATCGATCACAGTGGCGTCAGTGTATACACTCTCTGTCTTCCCTTAAACTAAGAGATTAAAATCGCTCCATATCTTTCTTTCTACAAACTAATTCTTTCTTCCTGTACTATATCCTTATTGCAATCTTCTTTTATATTTTACCACAACTGAATTAACTACTTTTATGAATCCGGTGTTCATCTTGTCTTGATAATGAAGTATGGCAACTTGAACCAATGCATATATGTGCCTGGTCCTACGTTGTAGCTGACTGACTGACCAACACTGTGGAATTAATCGTTTATAAGTTACATTGTCATTATACTTAATATTAGTGAACACTTCACCATCGAAATAAGTATTACATAATGAATGTACACTATTTTATGACTTTAATTTATAAACGTCATAATTGATGATATCAGTAGATATTTTAATGGAAGTATACTCTGTCTCCTAGTGGTACCGGTTTCAATCAAAATATCAATTTTATGAAAGTTGCATTTTCCCTTCAGGTTATGTGTACGATCTTTATGATGCAGTCTTGAATATGTACTACTTATAATGAATTTAAAAAAAAAACTGAGTTACAAATAATAAGCAATGCTTCTTTAATTGTCACTAAGGATAATAATGAGTTATCATTTCAACTGCTGATTGATATTTTCCGTGATCGTGTTAATCATCATATCAAGGTAGAATCACTTATTCCCTAGCCTCAATATATATTTTATTTTTTCTTGTATGTATTAGCTAAAGAAATTCAACGTTTAGAGAATATACCATCAGATGTTGGAAGTGTTATGTCATTACATAATTTAGATTCAAATCTTTTAACTCAAGTTGAGTCGGTAAGTTTTTTTGTAAGTTGGATGAACTCACTTTTTTAAATATTTCAAATGTCTACTTTAATTCCTATCAGTAGAGAGATTTAATTTAATAAATTTTATTCAATTGGCCAAGTAAACAGATATAACATCGAAATATATGGATAGTTATATTGCCACTAGACCTTATTAATCTTCATTGATTTCTGGTGATGGTTCTTCAACTGATGTCATTTCATGGTGTAGGTGACTGAAAGTTACGAGTGCATACATGTGTTTAACAGCAAATGAAACTATTTAGTCCACGATCACTACTTTTCTTCACTTTCTACTAATTATTCTACTTCAAATACTAACTGTTCTTGTATTGTTTCATCGTTTGCTTCATGTGTCACCAGTGCTAGCGATTCAAGTGCTGTATTATTTCATGTGTTTATCGTTAATCATGTTTTTTTTTCCTGCTTTATTTCCTTTTTAAATAATAGATCTTTGATAGTTGTTTCGATAAAATTCTCACCCTAATTCGTACAGAACAAGCATTTTTAAATCAATTCTTTGGTTTTCATTTGAATGCATCACAAATTGAAAAGTCAGTAAGTATGTTTAATTGTTTTACTTGCTTGTTTTGTTTTCCCTTTACAACTAATGAGAAACCACAAGTTAAACTAGAAAGTGATTTGTTACAATAATAAATCTCTCTCTTAATATGATACACTATTTTCAAACGGAAATGAAATTTACATGTCAACGTTCTTATTCAAAAGTGATTTGATTTTTTCTCTCTCCTAACCTACAACATTTTTTCCTCTTGTTTACTTCTCTAGATTTTCATTTCTTTTTTTTTAAAGGAAATCAGTCAGTCAGTCAGTAACAACGTAGAACTTAGAACGTACATCAGTTCGAGTTGCCACACCACATTAGCACAGAGATGCAGTGGTTGATTCAAATCCCGTAGTGGTAGAGGTAGCAAGAGTATAAGCAGTAATCGGGAAGATTAGGGTTTGGAGATGTTATTCAAGGAGTATAATCCAGTTAAATAAATTTGGAAAGAAAATAAGTGACATGAAGAATTCAGAAGATTAGAATTTGAGAGAACACAGAGAGTGGATGCACCTGCGCCATTGCAAACGATTTTGAGCCATGTCATTCAGGGTCTCTAACCATCGGTTGCTATCATCTCGCGGTTCCCAACCAGGTAGTCTACACCTACCAACATGACTCAGTCCACTTGTCAGTGACTTAATGGATTTGTGCCATGATTTGGTCTGGCCGCCTCTAGCTTTCTTCCAACCTACTCCTATACCACTGAACATAGCACGTCGAGGTAGTCGGTCGTTGGGCATACGTAACACGTGTCCCAGCCATCTCAACTGATGAAGTTTCACTACGTCATCAATTGATTTGCCATCCGTGCTTAGTACCCGTTTCCTAACAACTGTGTTACTTACTCGGTGGTCCCAGGATATACGAGCAATATCTCGAAGACACCTATGATCAAATACTAGTAACCTACGAATATCCTCTACTCTTACCGGCCATGTTTCACTGCCATAAAGTAGGACGGAACGAACTGCTGCGCAGTAAACACGTCCTTTGGTTGATAGACGGATATCTCGCCTACGCCATGAATGACGCAAGTTAGTAAAAGCTAGTCGAGCCTTCTGTATCCGTGCTGAGATTTCGTCACACACCAGACCACAAGGGCTGATGAGACTTCCAAGATAAGTGAAGCGATCGACACACTCAACTACTTCACTCCCTATCACTAGTTCGAGTGTCGATGAAACCCAATCTTGAAGCAACATTTTGCATTTCGAGGGGGAGAATCGCATCCCGAACATGCTTGCATTGTTGCTTAGAGTGATCAGAAGACTCTGCATTTAGTCAGCGTCTTCACCAAATAAAACTATGTCATCAGCATATTCTAAGTCAACAAGTGAAACCTCCCGGTAGAAGTTCAACCCCTGGAAATTTAGATGAGGAGAGTGTTATCTCTAAAAGTACGTCGACCACAAAGTTGAACAAGAATGGGGAGAGTGGGCAACCCTGACGAACACCACTTGAGGTAATCAATTCTGATGACAGTTCGCCATAAGCTCTCACTCTACCATTTGTGTTCGAGTAGAGAGCCTTTATAAGGTTAATGTACTTCTTTGGTACTCCTTTCAGTGACAAACACTGCCATAGAACCTCACGGTCAACAAAGGAAGTATGTTTCATTGTATGTCCTGACACTTCCATCCATCATTTTGTAGTGATTTTTAAAAAAAATTTCAGTCAGTCATTCAGCTACAACGTAGAACTTCGTGCGTACATACGTCAGTCCGAGTTGCCACACCACATTAGCATAGAGATACAATTGTCCATTCAAATCCCATAGTGGTAGAGGTGACAAGAGTATAAGCTGTAGTCGGAAAGATTAAGGTTTGAAGATGTTATTCAAGGAGTTTAATCCAGTGAAATAAATTTGGAAAGAGAAAAGAAAGAGACAAGGAGGAATCAGGAGATGAGAATTAGGGTGAACACAAAGAGTGGATACACCTGCGTCATTGCAAATGATTTTGAGCCATGTCATTCAAATTCTCTAACCATCCGTTGCAATTTTTTAAAGAAAATTTATTTTCTGTAGAGTGATTAAAGTTATAAACATTTATTGACTTACATATATTTCTGTTCTTGTAACCTGTTCTGTGTTGCTGTACTGTGTTTGATTGATCATGATTACTATCAGTATCAACAGACACCTATGTCATAGACGATAAGCATCTACGATTCTATATACTTGCGCATGAATTCACTTGGTAGGATGAGACATTTTGATCCATTGAACCACTCTATCTTGTTTTAATTCTTTGGTTCTACATATACATTCAATGCTTTCTATGCTAATAATATTCTTGTGATAGAGCAGTAATGATATGTTTTCTTTTAATGTTGTCACGGTGATTAACGTCTTATTGGTATGTTCTGACGAAAAATAAAGGAATGGTAACTGTTGAGAATTACTTATGGACTGTTATCACATATATTCTTTTTGGATAACTATTCAGTAACTATATTATATGTATATTCATATTCTTTTTATTATAAGCTTGAATTTGATTTATTGTACGATTTACTATTCTAAAGTTATTCCCAATTTATTAGTTTCAGTCTCTCACAATCAACGCTACTTTATGGCTTGATTTTATACAGATGTTATTTTTTATTTTGTGATATTATGAGGTCTGGTTTGTTTGTATATAAACCAAGTATGTTTGAAATATAGGATCCATATAGTGGAGACTGATACTGATGTTCTGGAATGGTTTAACTTCAAAAATAACCAATCAACATTGAGGTCTACAAGAAAAGCTGTGAACAATATGTGGAGAGATTCGAACACTTCACTTTAATTTGAAATTTGTGCTGATGATGTTCAGAATAACAATGAAAGTCCTACAAACAAACCATCCAGCTCAGAGAACAGAACTCCGTCAAAAACTTATGTCCTGGACTAAACCGTCTGGGTTGGGCAAGAAGCCAATATCTCAGTAAACCAATGAGAACTCGGAGTTGACTCTAGGCTGCTCGTATTGGTTTATGCCTCATTGGTCTGGTCAATAACCGTTGTTCTAATTGGGGATCGTATCACATAATAATTAACAGACCATAAGGACATTGAATAAGTCTTTTTCCAAATGATTGATAATTCTCATTGACTTTATGAATGTTAAACTGAGATTTCTTTGTATGATAGCAATGAGAAAAAGGTGTTTAAACTAAGGTCTTGAGTTATTCTTCTTTACCGACGTAATTTTTCTCCCTTTTTTCCTTTGGATAGTTCTGTTGTGAAATGATGGGATAAATAAAGCTTAGGTTAAGCATAAAATCACAAGCGGAAAATAGAAAATTGTTCAATGAAACTGTAATTCTTTATCGATTTAAGTGTCTGGGATACGTATTGATAATTTCAAATCACCAACTAGCTGGATATGCAATGTTTCCTGATTTATATATATATATATATATATATATATATATATATATATATATATATATATGTCATTTGAATGAGAGCCATGGGTGGTCAAAATGAGATATATATTCGCTATTGATAAAGTCATTGACATTTGGTCTAAACTATTTTACTTGATATAACGAAAACAATATGAAACGTAAAATCAATGATAGCGATTCTTACGAGGATAGCTATAGTGAAATGGAATACATGTCAGTTAGTCAGTTACAAGGTAGGACCAGGTACATGCATGCATCGGTCCAAGTTGCCACACCTCATTAGCACAGCAAGACGAACACCGGATTCGTAGAAGGAATTAACTCAATGGTGTAATATATAAAGGAAAGATTTCATGTAAGGATATAGTACAGAAAGAAAGAATTAGTTCGTAGAAAGAAAGATATGAAGTGATTTTAATCTCATAGTTTAAAGGATGATGAAGGGTGTATACACCTACGCCATTGTGATCGATTCTGAGACATGTCACCTAGAGTCTCCAACCATTGGTTACAATAGTCACGCGGACCCCAACCAAGTAAGGAATGTCATCTCCCACATCCCCCACCTAATCATAGATTATTTATTCAATCGCTTACATTAAAAAAAGTATTATCATTCTCACATAAACGTACCGATCTCTCACTCTGTGTATATATGTTCTTTTTTCTCCCAGCATAATACTGTTATGTATAAAAATTATAAAGGCGATGAATTATCTACTTTATTCGATTGTATGGTTCATTTATTCGATAGCGTTGAACAAGATGTTTTAAATTTAATCATTCATTGTGAACAATTACAAGCTATATTGATTATGCCATTGTTAATTACAATTTCACGTATCACAGAAAATGAAATTACATTAACATCATCATCATCATCATTGTCATCACCTTCACAACAAACCACAACAACCAATTTGGATAATTCTAATTCTAGTAGTGGGATTGGCAATACTAGTCAACTACAGTTAGAATCACAAGATTCTGATAAAATTCCAATGACATATATTGCAAATTTTTTATCACGACTTACTATTGAAACAAAACGAGCTTTTAATCGTCTTGTTGTAAGTAATAATTTTCTGAACAAAAAAATTTATTGACAATATTGTTGCTTGTTTTTTTGTTGTTGTTGTTCATTCAATATTGATTAACTGAAAAAGTCATATAGAGATCCTATTTTTCCGATTCTGAACGTGCTTGTTGGTGATCCCTGATGAAAAATTTGAAATTAAAGACGAAACAGCTATCTAATTCTCATAATTTGTTCTTTTCCAAGTTGATATCAATCTATAACGATTGATTGTTTTCAGATTCAGGGAAATATCTTAAACCTTGACTTAAAAGTATGTAGTAGTCAATAAGATCTCACTCAGATATTGACCCATAGGTTTTAGTTTTGATCTCTACTTCACTTAAACCATAGTTTTTACTTTAACTCTGTGATCGAAACTACCTATATCTCTGGTCACAGTTTCTTATTAGAACTGCGGGAATTACCTTTTCAAATTAGTCGCTAGTGAGCACATGATTATTACTATAAAGAAAGTTTGTGGGGACAGTTGAATTCTATGACTAACACTACAAACCAATCTAATTTGAACAACCAGTAAAAATCAGGAACGATTGAAAAGCTGTTCTATCGTAGTATGAAACTTTCCACCGGTGCAAATTCACATCACCAGGGATCGAACCTTTTGTTCTCGGGGGTTGGAGCCTTGATTCAGCCATCCAGATAAAAAAAACCTTCAGTGCATACATATTTAAACTATGTGTTACGATTCACTTGATATTGTTTTACTTGAATCTTCGCATTGATATTTAGGACTGTGATAATCAGTCACTATCCATCTTTGCTTTTAATGCTTGTAAATTAAGGCAATACCGAGGCATACGCACAGTATGCACATATGCCAATCAAAGACTGATCAATTTCAGTCCTAAAACATCAATGGGAAGATTCAAGTAAAACAATATCAAGTGAATTAAACTTCACCACATTGCACAAGCAAGTGACTATCGAGATTCAGTAGCTGAGTGGATGACGCGATTGCGTTTGAAGCGAACGGTACTGAGTTCGAGTCCCAGAGTGGACATCAACTCAGATGCAGGTGCGTCCAGCTGACGAGTCCCAAGCAGGACGAAACGCGCGTCCTGGATTCCCCTGCTAGCCACTATCCATCTTTGCTTATTATGAGGTACGATGTTTTAGTGATGAGAGAACGTGACTTGCAATCATCGAATTTTAACCATACTCTGAACATTAGTTTAAATTGTCAGGTATTATTTATGTATGGTATAAATAGTAAGTAAACCCATTCATTGTATATATGTTATCATATGATTTGCATTTTCTAAAATTCTTCATCAGGAGCGTCTAATTATTTCATTTAAAACGAGTAAACCGTGTAAAAAAGTACGATGTGGTGTATTATCAATGGTTCGCACTTATATTGAATTCGCTGAATGTTCAATGACTGTATTTGCTAAGAGTTCACGTTTAGTTGATCTAGAACGTGCTCATAGAGAAATAGTACGATGTTTAATGACTGAAATTGATCGAGTTGCATCAAGAAGTGTGAAAACTCCCGGTGAAGTTGTTCAGTTAGGTAAATTCATCATTATTATTTATTTTGATATTTCTTTTTTAATGTTCCATTGAACATTCTTGGAATATGAATTCATTGATTCTTGTTTCCCAGAGATATTTTTAAATGTGTCCTGTTCAACGGTCGATTTACACATCATATCTCGACACAAAAACATGCAATCTGTTCTAACTAATAACACTATTGTGATTTGAAGGTACCAGGTATAACGTTAAAGATACTGACTGATTATTATTATTATTATCCAAGTGCCTGGAATTCACTAAAAACTCACCAAATCATGTAATAGTGTAACCTACTGGTTATGTCTGCCATTATTATTCAATTTAACCATTGTCTGCTTTAATTTAGCTGATTGCATCAGTTTATATATCTTCAGCATTATTGTTATTATTATTACTTGGTGGGTGCTCTTTATTGATTCATGAATTGTTATTGATATGATTTTATCCTTGTGGCACCTTAATTCTAATTATTTATTCTGTAATCTGAATACTACTACTCCATTGAATTTAGTAGTATAATTATTTCTTACAGTGAGATGTATAGGGCTAAACAAGTGATCTTTGCCGATCAGGATCTAATATTATTATATACTGAATAGATTTGAGTTCATGTGTCTTAAGAATATACATTGGTTGACTCATATTTTCTTTAAAATAAAAAAAGAATCTTTTAATCAAGTTTCTTGTGTTTATTTATTTATTACAATCTTCTTTTTTCTTTTTTATCTTTATATTAGAAAATTATCATCGTCTTTGTGATATTCTTCGACGTTTAAAAATGTCCAGCTTAGATGATTATCGTCAAGATGCTAAGAATCGTTATACTTTAGCTTTACAAGAATATACAAAAACATGTATGGGTCGTCCATTGGAGAAATTAGCAGTATGTTCATTTGACTTTCTTTTCTTTATTTATTATTGTTTATGAAATGCATTATCCTCTTCTCTTACATATGAGATCAATCAAAGTAAATGGAATTCTTTAATAGCCACCATTTTGATTTCTTAAATCTCGCATGTACTATCGAGTCAAATACTATGAAACTAATACCCCTGAATAGCTGACTTTTATGGATATGGTAAGAATTCCGTTTTGTCCTTATATCATCATTGGTTGGAGCAGGATTAGACTTTTGGCTTTCTTTGTATTCTTGTTAGTGGATGACGGATCTATGTACAATGTATTTTGATACACAGTACTATTGATCCGTGAATTGACTTACTTCCAGTTAACACAATAAATATCTATTTCTTAATACTGTACAAAATTCTCTCGATATTACTCTGTGAACGTGCATTATTTAATTAATCATTAGTCAAGATTTAGCTGTGGTTACTCAGTACTTGAATGTGGAGCTAGGGAGGTATTTGTTAACAAGTCATTGAATTTCGATGATTTTGGAATAAAGACTGTTAGGCAGTTGCGATTTCCGTGTTGTGTATACTGTAAAAAAAGTTTTTTGGTGCAAACTGAAAAGAAAAATTGTATGAGGCAGAAACCTGAAGAACTAAGAAAGCCATCATCCAGAAAATACAAGTGTTTATTAACACTTGTCCACGCAAAATACTTCAGATTCGTTGGCCGGACAATATTAGCAACAACCTACTGTGGGAGAGAACAAACCAGATCCCATTGGAAGTAAGAATCAAGAAGAAGCGCTGGAAGTGGATAGGACACACGTTGAGGAAAGCACCCAACTACGTCACAAGGCAAGCCCTCACATGGAATCCTCAGGGCCAATGGGAGTGAAGAGGAATACCAAAGAACACATTACGCCGAGAAATGGAAATAGGCATGAGAAAAATGAACAAGAATTGGATGGAACTAGAAAAGAAGGCGGAGGACAGAGTGGGTTGGAGAATGCTGGTCGGCGGCCTATGCTCCATCGGGAGTAACATGCATGAGTAAATAAATAAGAAAAGGAAAATAGATTTTTATTCATGCATTTGTCGATCGACCATAGGATCCAAGAGATTGTTTGGCGAGGCTCTAATTTATGGACGAGATGATGTCAGTTCGTGATGAAAACCCCATATATAATTCCTAACTAAGGCAAATTACGACAAGTATTGCGAACTGGATAATTAAAGCACCATTAACACTGGTCGCAGCCAGATACTACAATATATACGGATGTTTGGAGAGCGTACAGACTCCTATATGGGCTTGGTTATGTGCATCATGTCGTTATCCACAAGTGGCATTTTGTGTACTCAGCAACCGAAGTGTATATAAACACTATTGAAACGATATGGTCAAGGCTGAAAGAGTATTTGAGACTTTATCATGGCTCCGGAGGCCGAGTATTCTGTAGTCGTATGGATGATTTCCTCTATTGCATGCATTAGGATTCTAGAACCTCTGAACCTCTTCCTAACCTTGAAAAGTTTTTGAACCACATATAAGAAGTGTATCAACTTTATTTCCTTGATTTTGTATAATATATTTTTACTCTATACAGACTGTCCGCTGATTGGCTAATATTTCTCAAGGTAACTTAAGATTCGTTCAATGGTCGTCCATAAATTAGAGTCTCGCCGATTGTTTACTTATGACCGGTCACTCACGACCGTTTTGTAGATACTTTTTTATTATATTTGCTCTGTAAAGCTTTAAAGGTCATTATCAGAAATGTTAATTTATCGTACGATCTGTGCAAAGCCAGGATAGCCAAATATAACCAAACGTAGATAGTCGCCAAGAATCCCTACATCGGAGGGCTCAAGTTTTACAAACTTAGAGTGAAACTGTTGCCAGCGTTATCGTTACAAACCAGACATCTTACAGCCACATTGACATCAGTTTGTCATTATGTGTAGATTGATTTCATTCACCACACCACCACAAAGACTAACACAACTATTCAGATACTCGAAGCTTTCAAATACAGGTCTTGATAGAGTACATTGCATTAAGAAGGTGCCGAGAGGAAGTATTCCAGTTAATTTAATTCCATTCAATCTGCATCATTGATAACTGCGATCGCCGTGGTATCAAGCTGGCAGCTACAGTCGTGGTGTCGAGTATTTCTAAAACCGAAACACCATCAGACTCAAGTAAACAATTACAAATTATAACAATCATTGATAAATTCAGTTTGATTTGAGTGTAAATGCCTTTTTTGCAATCGATTTCATCTAAAGGCTGATATACCAATAAGATCATAGTTCATGACCATTAGACTACACAAATTATTGGTGTGAGACACGTATTAATATTTTTGAACTTGTCATGTTGGAACGAAAAATTATCTTGTTTCATCATTATTCATGTGAGGTGGTCAAATATGTAGGTCACTTGTTCTTCTATACACGTAAGAATTGATATTTCTTGTTTGTTGAATTAGATAGTCTAGTTGTGAAATTTTCGTTGTCTTTCTAAACAACGTTTTTAGCACACAGTTCAATAAGAAATGATTTATTAGGATTGTCAGCATCGGTTTATGTGGTGACTATAGAATTTCTGTAGCTCTTAAACTGTGAGCTGACATTACACCATTTTGGAAATGTTTCATCCTATCACATGGCTCGTCAGCAGTGTGCATCGACAACCCTGCATCCGCGTATCGAACTCCAAATTTTTATTCTCGTTCGACATGCAACTGTATTTTCAATACTCATCTAATTAAGATCATTTCGTGCTGTATTCGAATTTTTTCAGCAGCTGATCAACTCCTTGTTCCGTTGACCCAATATTTGGTTTATTGTTGATCATAAGCATTTGTTTTCTCTATCCTATAATTCAACACTTTCTCAATCGAACTCATATCCATAGTTGTCTACATTAGCTCATAAGATTCCATGTCAGTAAAATATGCTTTTGGTCATTTGTCGAGAGTCTATCAGCTTACTTATCTTTCAAATACTTCTTGATCATGTTGTCTATGAAGAGAATATTAGAAACTTCACGACTTATTAATCCAGTACAAAGAACACAACATCTCCAAAATCCTTTTACTAAACCATAAATATTCTTTATCAGCACTATTTTTATCTAAGTATTACTTTATTTACTTATTATTCATTGATTTTTTTTCATACATTATATTCCATTTTTTCTATACATCATTTTAAAGAGCTTTTTTGAAAATGTTCAAAGTGCTTTGGATGCTGGTGTACGATCTGAAGTGGTTAGTTATCAATTTGCTTTTAGTAAACAAGAATTACGTAAAGTTATCAAAGAATATCCTGGAAAAGAGGTAGGTGAATAACGCGAAAGAAAAATCCATAAATAATAGTTTATTTCATAATAATTCGTTGAAAATATGACCAACGTTTGTGTGTGTGTGTTTCTTTGATAGAAATTATTTTAATTTTTTATATACGTATAATGTTTGCCCCGACGTGCAATGTTTTACAGTGTAGAAGTAGGTTGGAAGAAAGCTAGAGGCGGCCAGACCAAAGCATGGTACAAATCTGTCAAGTGGACTGACCCTCATTGGTAGGTGTAAACTACCGGGTCGGGATCGCGAAACAATAGCAACCGATGGTTAGAGACCCTGAATGACATGCCCCTCAATCGTTTGCAATGACGCAGGTGCATCCACTCTTTGTATTCTCTCAAGTTATAATCTGAATTCTTCATGTCCCTTTCTTTCCTCTTTCCAAATTTATTTCACTGGACTATACTCCTTGAATAATATCTTCAAACCTTAATCTTTCCGACTACTGCTTATACTTTTACTACCTCTACCACTGTGGGATTTTAGTCGACAATTGTATCTTTGTGCTAATGTGGTGTGGCAACTCGAACTGATGTACGTACGTGCGCAGTTTCACTTTGTTGACTGACTGACTGAATTATCAGTTATGATTTCTATTGGACTTTTAGCAAGTGCATAACATTAGATGATCAGAGATGTTTACTAGAAATAGTCTGACATAATAAAGATCTGTTTGAAGTGTGTGTGTTTTTAACCGAGCCCAATTATTTGTGAAATGTTCACTGTCATTATAGATATCATCATCAGTATCGGTGTTGATTGGGAAATTTTAGTATAAGAAGAACTTTCTCTTCTAATCAATTTTTTTCTCTCCCATCTCTTTATTTGATATGATAACCGATTGATCATAATTTTCATTATATAATTATATAAGAGTATAAATTATTCACTTATAAAGGGGGTTTGCTTTTCGCTTTTTCGTCAACTCCATAAACTAAGTGTTAGTATCTAGAATTACCTACTTAAGATGGTTGTCTGGTTATAAGACTAGTCAGAAATGTTCTAACCGCGAATAGAGCCTCAGTATTCCAATTGGTTAAATTAGAACTCTTATTGGATGAGCTCAAGTGTGTTAAATTCCTATCAGGTGAAGTCAGCTCACCGTGTTTTTGAATTGTTAGAGCCTTGTGTCGAAATTTTTAAGTTACCTATTTTTTAACTATGTAAATCTTGCACTAAACTTGCTTGTTCTAGATTTATTTGTAATAAATAATTAATCATCATAACTATGTGTGCTCATACGACTAAAACTTCTTTCGATGGTAAACACTGGAAATCTTGAGTTGAAAACTACATTTTGACATTTTTTTTGTCATTTGTTTAGTGTTTAAAAGAATCGAGAGACGAATATAATCGATCTCATGCCCCCAAATGCCCTGGTACAACCGAAGGCGGGGAGAGTCAGCTCTCCCTCTCAAAATGCTCTCACATGGACATATGCATGCAACCACTGCCAGGGCAGTCCTACTCACTGCCTTGTGGCAGCTGTGTTGTTTATGAAAATGAGAGGACGAAAAGCGATTATCCGGAGCTTTAATCGGGTTGGTGGACCCGGAGAATCCACCTAGGGGAGTTGGAATACACTGATTCCAAACCAATGATGCACATGGGCTCCAGTATCTTAAAGCAACAAATCTCGTATGAACCAATCGTTGATCACCGACTGCCATGGGTCTGTATCTCCTGATGTTGCTCTACTGCCTTATGGATCAGACCCTTAGGTTAAAGACTCCGGGTGTGGCCCTTAAGAAAACCATCTTTTTTGGTTCTGGCATCCGGGAAGTATCCAAGCCCTCACACATGAATCGAATGATTTATGTTGCATATCTGTTTGGTACCTCCTTGTACCAATATTCCTGTGTTCAATTAAATAAATAATAAATTCAGTCATATAATGAATCAAAAACAAAACAAACAAAATAGTTGTATCATTTGAACTGTTAGTAAACTTTAGCCGTTTTTATAAGATATTCATTACATTACTTCATTGATTCATCATAAATAATATCATTTAAGAAGAAAGAAATATGCTGTATTTTCTTAATACTATTAAATCATTATTTATTTGAACATATAAATATTGCCACAAAGGGGCATCGAATACTTATGCGCCACACAAGTTACTTGATTTGTGTGTGTGTGTGCCCAAATCGAAGCAGGTGGTTTTCTTAGACATCCCATACCTCGAGCCTTCGACCTAAAGGTCTGGTGCACAAGGCAATAGAGCAACGTTAAGAGATACAGTTCCACGATAGCCAGTGACCATTAAGTGGTTCATACGCTATTTGTTCCTTCAGGATACTAGAGTCCATGTGAACAATTGGTTTGAAATGACAGTTTACCAACTGCTCTATGTGGATCTTATGTGTCAGTTATAGCGCTGTACATTCATTTCTCGTCCTCTCAATTTTGTAAACAACACCCTCATCACGATAAGTCAGTGGCTGTATACGCGTTATCCATGTGATGTCATTTTGAGACGGAGAGCTGACTCTCTCTACCCTCGGTCATACCAGGCATTTATTAATAATTACATAAGTCCCAATTAATGTGAAATATCTAATTGAATAATATTACATGACCTTGTATAAATAAAACATTGAAGTATGCTTTTCTTTCTTTCTTTCTCTCTTTATTTCAATTGTCCTCTTGTGATCGCATAAAATCTAAGGTAAAACATGGTCTGGAAAGTTTATGTAAAAAAGTTGAAAAACATTTATCTGATGAAGAAAATTTGTTCCCTGTAAGTATATATGTGTTTGTGTATTTTCTATTTATTATCCCCATAGCCCATAATTTCTATCATCATATATGATAATCATGGTGTATCTGTTTATGTGTGTATGTGTGTGTGTGTGTGTGTGTAAAAGTGCGTAAAAGAGAGAAACAAAAGTTAACAAACTTATTAACACCAATCATAGTAATAATTATGATATCTAACTTGAAAAGACTATCCATTTCTTTCTATTATGTATTTGCAATGGTTTAAATGGGAATCAACAACAACAACACCAACTTAATGGTTGCTGTGATATAGATGGGGATGTATCGATGCAAATTATAAAATATTTATGTCACATTCAATATCTATTTTTATTCATCTTCTCTTCATTTATCTTTAAAATACAATTGTGTTAAATGCATTGTAAAACTAAATTATTTCTTATGATTCTTTATTACATAAACTGAAAATGACAAATAAATTTGGTTGGTCAATGTAATCTGACGTTGCTTTCAATGATATTTATATGCTATTGTCTCTTTTCACTTTCTAAAATCATGGAAGGATAATTTTTTTCATGGAATACCTGACAAAATTTATGGTCTTGTTGACCTAAACATGTGACCGTTGCAACCAAAAGACAACTACTTGAGTTTGGTTATACTCTCTTACTTGATGATATCCCAAAAATTGTGGAAACAGCAGTGATATCTGCTAGTACGGTAAACCACAACGTTAGGGAGAAACATTGGATCTCAGCATCATCTACCGCACTGATAGATGCTCGGAAATTCATTTCATCTGGTTCTGAACATAACGAAAAGCGGAGTCAGCTTAAACGCAAGCTGACAAGAAGTCTACGCAATGATCGTGAACGGTGGTGGGTAGCGAAAAGGCAGCGGCAATAGGTAATAGCAGATAATTGTTCAGACTCGTTTAGGAAACCGACTGTTAGCGAAACACTCTCAGAGAAAGATGAACATATTATACATTCTCAATCCAGGAGATTGGATCGATGGGCAGAACACTTTAGGGATCAGTTCAACTGGCCTTCAGCCACACTTTGATTTCCCACGATCTCCAGTCAACCTGAATGGCAAGTTAATGTAGATCCTCCGACTCTTTACGAATTTGAAAAAAGCTATAGGAAATCTGGAACAAGAGAGAACAGCAGGCCTTGACAGGTTTACCCCTGAGATTTTTAAAGATGGCGGTTTAGTATTAACAATGAGATTAACTGAGGTCTTAGGTAGAATTTAGGAACTGGACGTAATCCCATCTGACTGGTCTCAATCACTGATTGTGCCAGTCTATAAGACAGAGGAATCAGTTTGGCTAATATAGTGTCTAAAATATTAGCTTCAATAATACTTCTACGCTTAACCAAAGCTTGTGAAGAACAGACGTCAATATCTTGCTTATTTAGTCTGATCCATATGATGACTGTATTTTCTTGATTCATTGAAAATTATGTCGTACAGAGTTCAATTAATTTCTCTTAAAGAGATTGATATTTTTCTATTATGTAATCACTTTTAAAACTTTAAACATATTTATATTCTTATTTTAATTTTCATTATTAAATTTTAGGTTGTATGGAGATCAATACAAACAGAATTTATTACACAATGTTTACGTTTTAGTAATTTAATTCAACAATGTTATCCAGATTCAGGGATACAACTTGAATTCACTATAACAGATTTACAAAATTATTTTACTGAAATTGCATGTTCACGTTGAAAAGGGACTTTCTTTCTTTCTTTCTTCATTTGCCTTCCCGTTTATAGTTTGTATATTGTATATTGATGTCTCAATCACCTTACTGTTTACACAAACACACACACATATATACATATACACAAAACTACTGATGGATTATTCAGTTTCTTTTGTGCACAATGAATGTTTTAAAAGAAAACAATCAAGTAACATTCAACGGATGAAATTTACCTTGATCTTATATATGAAAACACGCACAATACACATTCAATTATACAGAAATTGTCATTTCCTTACTCTCAGTTTTTCTCCTTTTTTTTCTCTTCGTTTTAATTATCTGCTTTCATATGAATGATTCTATTTTAAATGATTTTGTTTTGTGATTTTCTTGTTTTCTTTTTATTTTTGTTTTGTTTGTTTTAATCTACTCTCCGTTCTGTGTAAAAAGATCAATAAATCTATAGCATCAGGTGGGTTTTATGATTTCAGTGGTTAAGATCGTGGTTCAAATCTCACAGGGGGCAAGGTCGTGGATACGCGCTGCTGAGCAGTCCCACAATAGGACGAAACGGCCATCCAGTGCTTCCAGGTTTTCCATGATGGTCTAGCTTCAAATGACTCATGGTCATAACCATTGAAATATATAGCAGTTTACGAAATTCGCTTTCTTTTTTTATGTTCACTATTGAAGACTCTGCTCAGAGGCCCTCTGGGGCTACTGCCGGTCCCAATCCGGGATGAAGGAGGAGAGTTGGGCATGAGGTTAGGGTGCTCATCCCGTAGAAAACTAACTCGCTAAAAAAACGCTAACCAGATAAAAAGTAAGTTGAAGACGTGCATCTTGGACAAGGATAAACAGTGAATAGTGTTGGGTCTGTTGGTCATTCAAATGAATAATGGAAAGTCGTGTATATTTCATTCGTATCGGTTGTTTGGGCCTCCAATTGACCATTTTATTTTCTTTGGAATATGTGAATTCCATGTGTATTAACTCGATAATGTTTCAAAGCGGCCCGATTGAATATCAGGCCTATGTGTTCTTGCCATCTAGATATTTCGGTAAGTTATCTGTTTTCTTGTTTGTTTTAACTCATCATTACGTCAATTAATTGGTATGACCTATTCAGATGCGTTTGTGAAAAGTTTACGACTCTTCGCTGTACAAGTTACAAAAGAGACCAATCAAAGACATTGTGGCTGTTGGCAATATGCATCGAAAAGAATAAACATTAAACAGATGTCTATTTCTGAACTGCCAACATCTAACTGGCGACCAATCAATATTTTATCGCAGGGGTAGATCAAGAAATAAGAAAAGGAAACTTGTTCAAATACTTTGTGCTAAGAATTCTATATTGTACCAAAAATATAATATTGAACAAAGCTTATAATAATAAGTCACACGCATTATAAGCAGAGATGAATATTGGCTCCAAGTGTAATGAAAGATGTGCGTTTTGTCTCATTTGGGACTCGTTATTTGGATATACCTGGATGCCAAAGTTGATGTTCATTCTGGAACTCGATTCTAATACCAATTTCTTCGCACCCCGACGCGACATCTACTTAGTTCAGATAACCACTGACTTATGCAATCAGGTGAATTTTAATTTACATGTATTGGTTGTTTGAATCTTCTCATTGATGTTTAATACGAAACACGCGTCCTAGTTTTCACTGCTAGCCACCGTCCATCCCTACTCAAAAAGACAATGTTTTAAAAAGAATGATACTTTTTAATATCCAATGGCTTTTTTTAGATTACGGTTAGGCATTAGTGTTAAGGCTTCGGTCCCAGCTTTCATATCGTTAGCTTTATGCTACAAAAATATATGACTCACTATCACCCACTGTCCGTTTTGATTTATGTATTGGGAATCATGTTTTTGCTACCTTTAATTTATGCTATCATGGTATTAATTCATTAATTTAGTGTATCATTTAGTCTATATTCCGAAGAATTCCACTGTGAGTTTAATAAAGCGTATGTTTTTATCGCTTATTTCATCACCTGCTAAATTCCGCGTCCAAAAGATGTTACAGTGCCAGTTCGTGATTTTAGTACATTTAAATGTATAGGAAGGTTGCTTAGGTGGCTAATAGAGACTTATTTGTCGTAGTTTGGATAAATGTGACCAACTTTGTAGATGTCACAACCTATCTATCGAATCTCATTACTAGTCATTATGTTACTTTGTATCCATACCTCAAGCTTGAAATCAAATCGCACTTGTAATCATCTGCCGCTCTTTTCAAAGCATCTATCCATATTGTGGTCATGGTTTAGTATTTACCAATCTCATTTTGGGTTTTTGAGGATTTCTGTTGTTCCCTGCGGAGTAGTGATGTAAGCTAACTGGTTACATGTACCATTTTGTAAGGAAGGATTTGGTTCAACTTAATTCAAGGTTAGTTTTCAATTAATTCCGAAACAGGCAATAACACTAATATTTACGATTCTCCATGAAAATGATGAACGAAGTTCTCTTTAGGTTCCATCGCTTAACTATTTCTAATCAAGTCTAGATTTGAGTAGAATTCATTTCTAATTGATGATTTTTCACTTGCTTTCTAAAATGTTATTTTTATGTTGATTGTTGGAAACTGTTTTTACGTTAATGAACTCAAAAGAACAGTTTTTATCATTGATAAAATTAAACTACATACTAACTAAAATCGTAGGCAACTACTTGATTTAAGTTTGCGATTCTCCAACAATGCTTTTTTACCACCATTACAAACAAGTTAGAGTTCTCTGGTAGTACACTACCTTAAGGTTAGTGACTACTGTACACCACCAAGGGATTTATGATGTAAAGCCGAATGATAAGTTTCCAATTAATCGATTGTAATTAAGGACAGCAAAAGATATCACAGCAATTAGTGAGTCAAATGAAAGCTTTCAATTTAGCTAGTGTCAAAATATTATGAATCGTATTTTTAATAGCTACACATAGAAAGTGTTCTAACAGATTTTCTGGAAATCGGCTCTCCTTAGTTTTTCATTTTCAGTCCTTTCCTCATTTCTAACAACCGCCTATCTGTGTTTGTTAGAAATACATATATTATAATGAGGTGCAGTCGACAAAACTTTGTCAAGACTAATTCAGCTCGTAGTTAAATGGAATTATTTTGATGAGAAGGATGTGTATTTCCGTTGTTCTCTGATGTATTAGAGCTAGGCTTTAGAATGATGCGTGAGATTTACAGAATTTTATAGTTTAATCTCGGCAACCGATAAGATCCTAAGTTACTAGAGTCAGTCAGTAACAACGTACAACTTCATACGTACATACATCAGTCCGAGTTGCCATACCACATTAGCACAAAGATACAATTGTCAATTCAAATCCCATAGTGGTAGAGCTAATAAAAGTATAAGCAGTAATTAGAAAGATTAGTGTTTGAAGATGTTATTCAAGGAGTATAATCCAGTTAAATAAATTTGGAAAGAGAAAAAAGAAAGGGACATGAAGAAATCAGAAGATTCGAATTTGGGAGAACACAAAGAGTGGATGAACCTGCACCATCGCAAATGATTTTCAGCTATGTCATTCAGGGTCTCTAACCATCGGTTGCTATCATCTCGCGGTTCCCAACCAGGTAGTCTACACCTACCAACATGACTCAGTCCACTTGTCAGTGACTTCATGGATTTGTGCCATGATTTGGTCTGGCCGCCCCTAGCTTTCTTCCAACCTACTCCTATACCACTGAACATCGCACGTCGAGGCAGTCGGTGGTTGGGTTGTGCATACGTAACACGTGTCCCATCCATCTCAACTGATGAAGTTTCACTACGTCATCGATTGATTTGCCATCCTTGCTTAGTACCCGTTTCCTAACAACTGCGTTACTTTCTCGATGGTCCCAGGATATACGAGGAATGGTTCGAATACTAGTAACCTACAAATATCCTCTACTATTACCGGCTATGTTTCACTGCCATAAAGTAGGACGGAACGAACTGCTGCACAGTAAACCCATCCTTTGGTTGATAGACACGAATATCTCTCCTACGCCATAAATGACGCAAGTTGGCAAAAGCTAGTCGAGTTACTAGAATAACATACTACCAGTACTGGGTTCGGGTTCTGAAGTGAACATCCACTCCAAGCTGCTGTCAATTTCAATTGATGTATCTCAGATTAGGCATAACGTCCATCCTCGTTTCCATTGCTTATCACCATCTTATCATCATCTACAAACTAAACAATTCAATATCTAATCTAAATTTAATTCTTAACAAAAGTTTTGCATACAAACTGAATAAGAGTTTTGATATTCAAATACTGAATAATAATTAATGTTGAATTAAAATGAATCCATAATGTCAACTATTTCTTTTCTTTTCTTTTTTCTTTCTTTAATTGAATAATCTTTAAACATATTGACTTAACAACAAGAACAATAAAATCGATCCACCCCACTATTAATTTATCACTTTTATTGATTAATTGATTATTTTTATAAATAAAAATGTTTTCTCTTGGAAAAAAATATAAACATTCAGTGTTTCTATGCCGTTTTTTCTCCTTTTTCTTCTATATTAGTTTTACTATTAAGAAAAAAAAAGTGAATACACTTCATTTCATAATTAAAATAAACACGTACACATAGAAACTGATGAGAATAGAATGAATACAATCAATGGGTTATATTATGATTATTGAATAGAGCGAAAGGGGGTGGGAGGAGGAAGGGAGGGATGGAAAGAAATCAATATTATAATGAATGAATTACTGTTTACTCCCCTAATTATTATTATTGCCAGATTTTTTGGTTGAGATAATATACAATATTAAATATATTGTTATTATTAATGGACAGGATAGGTAGAGACTAACGAAATGAATGAGATTATATATATATATATATATATATATGTATCTACATAGTTACTATGAATGGTATGGTGCCAATTTTCCTTTTTAATCTGGATAAGTTTTGTTTTATCTTTTTTTCATGAAATGCTTTGAATAGATTGTTTCTTTTTTCTTTTCTTTGTTGTTCTTGTTGTTGTTGTTGTTAAATCATGTCGCCAAATTTTTAAATTAAGAAATAAAACAAAACTAAAATATTGAATAATATATAAAGGGATTAAGTAATTTGATGGAGTGTTGTTCTTTCTCTGAGCTGGATAATTTGATCATGGAACTGTCATTGTTCTTCTGAACGATATCATTAACACACCACCTATATCTGTTGATGCTGTCATTCAGAAGAATGTTGAAAGCTCCATGATCAAACCATTCAGATCAAAGAACAAAACTTTATCAAAAATCATTCAACTGATCTTAAAAAAAGTTCTTCTCCATCATCTCAGGGATTAATTATTTATTATCATGATATACGTTCTTACTGATTATTTTGTTTCATTCGTGACATGATTGAACAGATCACAAAGCTATGAGTACATCTAGCGTATTTGAAGCGGAGAGGCGAATATGTATGTACAAGCAATTATATAAGTAAATTTATAGTCGAATTGTCTAAGAGCACAGCAAGGCAAAGCAAGGACTAATATAATAAGATTTGAATATATCACAATTGATTGATCACTGGGTGGTGATCAATGTCATGCTTGTCTAGTCCTTATTAGTACAAATCGAATGCTATCGATCATGTTGCAATGTGGCCACCAGTCTAGATGACTCG